TTGTATGGGGAAGCATGCCATATGCACTACCAACTGGCCGATTAGCAAGGCATCAATCTTATTCTGCCCTACCCTTCAAAGGAACGATCTACAAATGACTTTTAAAGAAACAGAATAGGAGTAAATATAAGGAAAATTCTGCTCAACAAGGATATTTACTCAGTAATCAGAAGAGCTCATTGAGTAATGTTTAAATTATACGTAAGCCAAGTTAGAAAAATATAAATGAGGGATGATCAATGAAAATCTCACTATTTTTTACCTTCAAACACCTGATGATTGTTCTTGAGCAATGTCTGCAGTCCTCCATATTCATTCTTTAATCTCTTCAAAGTCTCTTTGTCTAAATGTTCTGCTACTTCCCTCAAGGAAAGACTTTCTGCAGCGAACAACAACAATACAGCCATTAAAAAAGCAATGCCAACTGACCAGTGGATCAGAATAGCAAGCAGAAACTATACACTGCCAAATTGTAGGCTAGCAGTGCAGTCAGAGGAAGCTGAAGGATGTTTTAGGAGTCATTTTATGTTGTCTGTCTCCAGAATGGCAGAAATGTTTTGCCGGTTGTTTTCCAGGGTTCATAGTGTGAATTCCCATAAGTGACATGAATCCACACACTTTCCTATTCCACAGCTTTTGTACTGCAGTAGCTCCTACAGACTATTGTTCGAGGCACTACACACATTTGTAATAAAACTCCGCTCCCAAAGAGTTTCCAATTATAGAAGATGACAAAAGACTGTGGGTGGAACCCCAACAAATAAATGACCGGGGGAGAGAACACCAACAGTGAAAACCATCATTTTTAGAATAATAATCAGCACCTTCTTTTCCTCTCCCCTGCTCAGGAACTAAGCATTCAAATTCTGATTGTCGCATTTTGAGAATTGTAACCATTTCACAGAATCACAGAAGCAGGGCTGGAAGGGATCTCAGGAGGTCAAAGCCATTAATAACAAGTGTTTGTCCAATCTGTTCTTAAAAATATACAGCGATAGAGATTCCACAACCTCCCTTGAAAGCCTTTTCCTGTACTTACCTATCCTTACAGTCAAAAAACCTTTCCAATGTACAAACTAAATCTCCCATGCCACAGATTATGGCCATTACTTCTTGTACCCTCTCCAGTGGGCTCGAAGTACAATTGATCACTGTCCTGTCTATAACAGCCTTATCACATTTGGAGGCCATGGTCAGAACATCCACCAAAGTTCTTTCCTCAAGACTTAACATGCACCATTTTTTAACCTTTCCTCGCCTCTGGACTCTCGCCAGTTTGTCCATATCTTCCTAAAATGTAGCACTCAGACCTGAACACACTATTTCAGCTGACACCTCACCAGTACCGAGTAGAGTCCAACATTTCCCTGCTGTGTTTTACGTAAGACACTCCTGTTGTTCGCTTCCAGAATATTAGCCTGCTTAGCAACTGCATTCGGTTGTTGAGTGCTACTCAATTATCGATCCATTATAACCACCAGAGCCTTTTCAGCAGTGCTACCACCCACCCCGCCAGTTATTCCCCATTTTGTAATTGTGCATTTTATAAGCACATTCTCCATTCCATTATCCAAGTCATTAATGAAAATATTGAACACCCAGGACAAACCCAACAGAACCCCACTAGATACATTCCCCTCCTCGCCTCCCAGTTTGACAGTGAACCATTAAAACTATCCTTTGTGTAGAATCTTTCCACCAGTGCTGCACCCACATGTTAGCAATTTAATCTCAAGCACATTTCCCTAGTCTGTGTGAGAGAATGTCATGCAGGACTGTCTCAAAAAACATTCTAAGAAATAGATATAAGCATTTGTAGACAAGATTTCAAAAAGTAGCCTTAAAATTTTCAACAATGAAGTGTAAATTGAGTTATACTTTAAAAAAGAAAATAAAAATACAGTCTCTCATCCAGTATTTTTGTGTGAAAAAATAATCTAGCAAATGATAAAAAAAATAAGAGTGTGAATACAGATTACAAAAATTAAAATGGGATGGGATCTAAGGAAGTTAGCAAAGAAATTTTTGCAAATCACTTTGCAAGTAGTTAACACCAGCATGCCAAGTACAAGGATTACAACAGTAAAGAGACTTCTGCATATTTGCTGTTGGAAATACAATGAAAAGTACTGCTAAGAATGTCAATGTGTAGTCGACTATACCATTAACCAGGGGTTGGCAACATAGGGCACGTGCCATAAGTGGCACGCAAAATGATTTTGAGTGGCACGTGGGGAGCAGGATTGCCAGGTGTCTGGTATTGACCCGGAGAGTCCAGAATTTTCACCTCCTGTCCGGTAAAATCCATCAGAAAATACCAGACACCTAAAATGTCTGACATTTTCTGATTTTTTTTTTCCCTGCCAGGAAGCAAAAATACTGGACAGTTGGCAACCCTATGACGCTCAGCAACCCTATGACACTCAGCAACCAGCCCTGCCCCCAAGCCTCTTAATAATTGTTAGGGTCCATTTTTTTTTTTTTTTTCCCCGAACAGCAACTTTGGTCTCCCCCTTTTTTCTCAACAGTGTTCTTTCTTGGAGGGGGGGCTTTGTAGTTTTGGTTAAACCATCTCGCAACCCTAGTGGGGAGCAGCAGTAGCAGCTCCAGGGTGGGGACAGACAGAGAGATGAAGAAAGAAAACTCACATCCCCACCATGCAGGCCACAGAACTACACATGGAGGAGGGCCGCCTTGCCCCACGCCATGGAAAAATCCCATCCGCCGCTGGGCATCCACCAAAGCAGGCTTCATATTGGTTTGTGTGGGTGGCGCCCTCCCCCAGCAACAGGTTTAGGCTGTGCCATGCCCAGCGGTGGTGGGGCTAAGGACCCTGCACATGCACAATGCTGGTGGGAGTTTGGACCCACAGAGACTCGGTCTGGGGGTACGCCCATCCATAAATGGAATCAAATAAAGTAAATCTCGGCACATAACTTTTGAAAGGTTGCCAAGGTTTATGGGTTAATCTTGTCAACTACACATATTTCCCTCCCCCCCCCCCCCCCCTTGCTGCCTCTGTATCAGAGGCAGCAAACGGGAGGGGAGCAGCCAGAGACAGAGGCTTCTTTGCAGCATCCTCCTCGCCCCTTCCCCTCATCCCCGAGCAGCCTTTGTCCATGGATAGGGGCTGCTGCCACCCTGTGCTGCTGCCTCTGCATCAGAGACAGCAGCATGGAGTGGCCGGCAGGCCATCTGTGTGGGGTGCTGGTTTTTAAACTGGCTCCTCTTGCAGACTGGCTCCTGCCTGGCATCTCACGCTGCTGCCTCTACTGGGGACTACTGAATACATGACTATTTAATTACTCAATATTTAACATCCCTACTATGTATCAGCAGTGGCAAAGCTGCCCATTTTAGTAGCTCTATTATATGCCATATCAACTGCATATTAAAAAACAATCTTACCTCCTTTATTCCAGGTGTTCAAGCATACATCAAATTTCTCTTGGGTTGCATTTAACAGTAAGCTTGCCACACTCAAAACCACAACATCTACAAAATCCCGCGGGAGAGAAGCACAATTCCTGACTTGTTCTACTTTTTCTCTAGGTTGAAATCCAGATAACCAGACCCTGCCACCATCTGTCTTTGTTTCATTTTCAGCACACACTGACTCTGATGCTTGGTCAGTGACAGAGTTTACAACATGGTGGTTGTCACATTGATTAGATCCAACTGTTTTGTCTGATGAGACTCCATTGCAGGACTGGCGGTTGTTAATATACTGTGTTATCTGTTCATCAAATTGATCCTCTTGCATAGGTGGGTATGTTCTGGACTTCCCAATGAGGCATACCTAGTTTAGCAAAAAAATCAATACAGTTACTATTTATACTGCATCAAAGGTGTTCATGATGATTTAGGGACTGGGGGCCACTGACCAACAGAAAAAAATCAGTCAGGGGCCACACACAAGTGACAAGGACCCCGACTGAGGAGAAAGACATTCTCCATATTCCCCTCACACACTATGACGGGGCTCTTGCTACATTTCAAAGCAAAAGTGCTCCTATTGACTAATCGAATAATCATTAGTTCATTAATCTAATTTTAACATCCCTAACCAACATGATTACAGAGCTGGAGCACATGACCTGCGAGGAGAGGCTATGGGATTTGGGCTTGTTTAGTCTTCAGAAGAGAAGACTGATGGGGGATTTGACAGCAGACTTTTACTACCTGAAGCTGGGGGTTCAAAAGAGGATGGAGAGAGGCTGTTCTCAATAGTGACGCATGGCTCTCTACCCTTGGTAACAACTATTCATGAGCAAAAGCTCTGATCTCCACCCAGGCTTAGGAGGCTGTCATGTCTCCAAATCAATCTGCTGATTGCTGCATGCATCCACAATGGTTACATTTGAGACAAGCTGCAAGAGGCACATGTAGCCCAAGGTCCAGTGTGTTTCAGCAGCAGCCCTGGGAACTACAAGTTGTGGACTACAAACTGCGGCATGTTGGGAGAACTTCCTGGTTCCTTCCAGGATGTGCCCTCTGCCCCCAGCAGGGTCTCAGCAAGGACTGTGCTAGAAGCAGCACACAGGCTGCATGCTGAGAGAAGGGGCTGCTGAACTGTTTTCCTGTTCTATGTTTTTTACAGAATAAAGCCTGTTCCTGGTGATTTGTCGGAGTGGGTCTGGTCTGAGGTGCACTTACACATACACAACGCAGAGCACACCAAGCAGCCTCAGGCCTAGCCATCCCCCCACAGTGGTGTAAGAAGTCACAAGCTTCCCCTATGCTGAATAACCTCACACTGGGCTAGCCAACAGGAGGGGTTACATTAGGGAAAAATTATTTCAGTAGGAGGGTGGTGAAGCACTGGAATGGGTTACCCAGGGAGGTGGTGGAATCTCCATCCCTAGTGGTTTTTAAGTCCTGGCTTGACAAAGCCCTATCTGGAATGATTTAGTTGGGGTTGGTCCTGCTTTGGGCAGGTGGCTGGACTCAATGACCTCCTAAGGGCTCTTCCATAGTATCTCTACGATTTTATGATTTGTATTGTGTCAGCACACAGGAGCCCAGTCATGGGGCAGGCCCCTGTATTCTAGAACAAAAAGACAGTCCCTACCCAAAAGGCTATTTGCAGGATCAGGACCCAAAATGAGTCCCCTACTTTACCATATGAATTTTATGGAGCACAGCAAGAGACAAACAACTTAATTGCTACAGGACAAAACTGTGAGACTTCATGGGAAAAGCAGACATCTAATAATTTTTTTCACTTCACTAATATGCATATGATTATGTAGCGCTATGAAATGAAAGCCTTTAAGTCCCTTGTTGTAACATTAAGTGGGACATGACAAACCATACAGGAGACAGATGAATTTTTTAGCTTGTGTATAAAAAAATATTGTCGGCAATTATGTACTAATCTGTTGTGGCCTGTTCCTCCAGTACAAACATAATGAACAATCATGTGTATGCTATAAATAGCTAGCCACATTTTAAAATGTCATGAGAAATTACCCTTTTTGTTGAGGGAATTCTAAGGCAATCTTCTTCCACACTGAAGCCGCATACGAATCCTACTTGTGTAACAAAATCAAGATATTCTCTGTACTGTGTCTTCTGGCTTTGCCTTCGGTTATATTTTCCATGGAAATCATAGAAGCAACAAGGCAGTACAAAGTAGCAACAAGAATAGGAAGACCTGCAAAAAGGATTATTGGCTATTGAATAATAATTATAGAAGGCTAATTTTATTAAGTGGCTAGATGAAACATCATCAATACTGCTCCTCAGATTCAAGGAATAAACAATAATTTTAATGGAGTGACATGTTAAATAGTATTAATATGTTCCTCCTTCAGTGTTTCTCTGAGTGAAAGAGTCACTGGTTATTTTGAATGTTTGCTCTCTAGAGAGATTTATCACCCCAGTTTAATTTAATACAAACTTTGCTACTGCAAACTTTGGTACTGAATGTAGTCAGTGGGACAGTTCAAGGTGGTAAGCATTAGACGCAATAACAAGTGCCTGCAGGATTAGGACCTAAATCTAAGAATAAAATCTAGTTAGATTTCTTGGGTCACAAAAACTGGTGTAATGCTATGCCACTGTGGCTTTCTGCAATGATGAGAAAGCTCAAAAAGGGATACCCACAGGAGTAAGTGACTGGTGAGCAGCAATCACTGTTAATCATCAACCTCACCCAGTCCTTCAGTGAGATTACCGACCACCACATCATTTCATGAACACAGGGGCAGTTATCCCAGGATATGCATATAATAAAGTGCAGCAGAAACTTTCTTCCATACCTGGATGCAATTACAGGTATCCACGGTGTTAGCTCATCTGAATGATTTCCTATTAGCCAGTCAACATTTGGAAAAAGATAACTGTCATCTGGTCTGATTGCACATTCCTTAAAAATATAAAACACATTTCACTCCCAATATTTTTGAAAGCACTGAATTTGATACAGTGTGTTTATGGGGGGAGGGGCGGGAGGGCGAAGGGAGAGGGTGAAACAGATATGAACAACAGAACAGCAATAACAAATGCGAGCTACCACTCTTTTTCTGATCTGAACCAAAAGCAAAGACTTTTGCCATACAATGATGTCTTGTTGCTGCAAAGCACAAATAAGATAACAGTAGAAACACAAAGTCAGATGTAATGCTAGATAGTCAGAGGAGGTTATAATAATAAAAACATGCATAATAATAAATATAAAATAATATACATTTGATTGTATCCCCAGCATTCTACTGGTGTCACTTGTCCTCAGACCAGGGTTGTGAGTTCAATCCTTGCGGAGGCCATTTAGGGATTTAGGGCAAAAATTTGTCAGGGATGGTACTTGGTCCTGCTGTGAAGGCAGGGGACTGGACTCAATGACCTTTCAAGGTCCCTTCCAGTTCTAGAAGATAGGCAATCTCCATTAATAAAAAAACCCAAAATACAATTGTGTCTGCTGTGTCCTGTGTCCACGGAGAGCCCCAATGACTACATGAAGGATCCAGACCTTAGATCATAAGCCCTTTGAGACAGGGACTGAGTATCCATATGTTTGCATAGCATCAACTGCAGGTGATTCATCAGAATTCAGCTTCTCTAGTCTGCTTCCCCTCCCCAGGTCCACCTCAGATGAAACTCCAGTTTTCCTCTCTATACCTCTTCTGATCATCTCTTTCCCCATGGCCACTCATTCTGATGTCATCTGTGTACACCTCGCACACCCTTACATAGCCACTATTCTTTGCCCCTTCAACTTATCACGGAGCTGCAGCCTGGAACATACCAAGACAAGGGGTTGTTAGGATGTGCATGGGGGTAGGGGAAAAGTATTTTGATGGAGAGGGTTTAATTAGAGAGGATCAGGCTGTGTGGGCACTCAATGGCTGTGTCTACACTGGCCATGTGTTCTTGCGCAAGTAAACTGATGTTGTACTGTAGAAAATCAGGGCTTCTTGCGTGAGAACTCTGATGCTCCCTCTCAGGAAGAAGCCCTCTAGCACAAGAGCTCTTCCAGAAGAGGCCAGTGTAGACAGGCAACATGAATTTCTTGCACAAGACCACCCTATGGTTAAAATGGCCATCAGAGCTTTCTTGCGGAAGAGAGCATCTACACTGCCATGGACACTCTTGCGCAAAAGCACATGCCAGTGTAGACGCTCTCTTCTGGAAGAGTTTTTGCACAAGAAGCTGCCAGTGTAGATGTAGCCAACATGTCTACACTGAGGCATCAGCACCGGAAGCACTTCCTTCTACTCTACCACCACTGGGAATGTATAGCAGCTAATCTCAAAAGCACCATAAAAGGGATCCCGAACAAGACCAAGAACTGTTATTTAATAAATAATAATACATTTAAACTGTTGTTTACTTTAAATATTCGAGAGTGGCCAACACCTAAGATGCTGTCACCACACGTGAAAGAGAAAATACGAGATTGTAACTATTTCACTAGAACAAATGAAAGAACAGTGAGGAAGAGCGCTAGATTTAAAAAAAGGGTTTTTTAAAATGTTTAAAATATTTCCTCAAACATAAAATGAAAAAATACATATGCGAACACAAAAAGATTTGTGTGTATACAACCGGTCCCCAACTTATGGCCAACCCGACTTAAAACCATCCACACTCACGACCAAAGAGGTCAGCACTTACGAATAGCACGGTCGCAGTATAACTCAATGGGTTCAGAGTTACGACCACTCCGAGTTATGGCCAAGCGTTTGGTCCGTAACGCGTTCGTAACTCAGGGACAGGCTGTGTGTGTGTGTATAAAATCATGTCACTCTGTGTCCCATAGCCCCTCCCCACTCAGCCACCTGCCTCCCCCCCCAACCCAGCAGGGATTGGCAACCTATGGCTCCCAAGCAGCAGCAACACTAAAGGTAAGCTGCTGCTGGTGAGCTAGTGTGGGGAGGATTGGGGGAGGAAAGGAGAAAAATTGAGGCACTCCAGCAGCGGCGGAGGGGGGAGGGGGGAAGCGCAGGCAGAGAGGCCCACTGCAGGGTGGGCCTGAACTGGGAGATACCTTGCCCCAGAGACGGAGCTGGCTGTACCATCAGCAGCCACCATGTGGAGTTCTACATTGCGCTGCTCCAGTGGCACGGAGGGGTGGCCAGTGGTGAGGCCCATGGCGGGACGGGGCATTGGAAAGCACTGCTGCAGGAAAGGGACTACTCCCCCTACGGGCCTCACTGCCGCCAGATCATCTCATTTTAAAATTCCAGCAGCCGACCACCATGTGGCAGGTGGCTGCTGGAGTTTTAAATTGTGGCCCTCCAGTCTGGGCCTCGCCCTTCTCCTCCCAATGGGAGTGTGGGGCCTGTCAAGGGGCTTCCCCCCCCCCCAGGGGCCAAGGGGAGAGCATGGGGCCCGAGCGCAGGGAGAGCACGCGGGGGGAGGGGAGACGGAAGAGAGAGAGGGGAATAGCTCAGGGCTTGACGCAGCCAGGGAGGTGGGATAGGGGACAGCTGGGGCTGGAGTGGTGGTGGAGGAGAGGACATGATAAATCAGGATTTATGTCCTGATAAATCAACACTCGCACTGTATTTTAATTTTGATTAATCATTTTTGAAAAAATATGGATTAACCATGCTATATTCTGTATTTAAATAATTATTCATAATCAGATCTGGATTCATTGCATCTGAGAGCAGATTGGTGGTGCTGCAATATTCCATCTGAATAATTCAGTATTGAATCATTTCCATTTTGGCACTGCATGCCACAGAGTGCAATGCACATACTACAAATGGTACTTTGCAAATCTTATTTTATCATATGAATTTGTGGCTAAAATAATTTTAAATTACAGGAATTGTAAAAGAAGAAACCACCTGTTCAAAGCATCTTTGTTACTCTCCGAAATTTATTTAAGTTAGCTTGACTCTTTTTTTGTAATCTCCTCCTCCAGCAAACAGCTTTTATAAAGACATTAATTTCAGTTTGTTTCCCTTCTACCTTATGTTCATATTTTTAACCGTTCTATGTTCATTTAACCAAGACTGTAACCTAATTACTTGCACACTAAAAAAAAGCCTCTTACACGACTAATACAAATTAAAAGGAAAAAGGAAAAAAAATACGTTTTCCTTCTTGTTTCCTCACTATACAATTCAGGGTCCAATGCTTCAAAGCACAATGTTGAGGACTCTCAGCTCCTAAAAAAGGCTCATGTGAGTTGAGGATGAGCCTTAATCCTGGGCCCAAAAAAGCAAATGGGCAAAACTTCAATGACTTCCATGGGGCAGGGCCTAAATGAATTAATTTATAACAGGAGAAAACAGACGTAACTAGATACAGTATCTATCATTGTCTTGCCACTCTAGCCTTTTACTTCCCAAGCCCTTGCCTTAAATTCTGGCTCTATACTACATGGGAAATCAATTGTCAGTTGCATTTAGCCCCTATTTGTCCACACTTGGGTACCACTAACCAGTTTGATACAACTGGCAGTCTCTGTTCTCGTAGATGGGGACTGCGAAAGCAGGGATGATGCATGCCAGCACTGAAGTGAATTAGTTCAAGTTGTTAATTTATTACATGCAACTCTACATCAACGACTTGTACAAACACTGCTGGCCTGATCAAAGCTAGTATCAACCCTGTAACTCCATGGCACTGAAATTCCTCCTTTTTAAAACTGTGTGGGGAAAAGTCATACTAAGCTTTATTGATATATGCTAATCAAGAGCCTCAACTAGAACACAACTATACAGGGAAAAGCAAATGGGCAAAACTTCAATGACTTCCATGGGGAAGGGCCTAAATGAATTCATCTATAACAGATGCATCTGACGAAGTGGGTCTTTACCCACCAAAGCTTATGCTCCAATACATCTGTTAGTCTATAAGGTACCACAGGACTCCTTGTCACTTTTGCAGATCCAGACTAACACGGCTACCCCTCTGATACTATACAGGGATTGTGTTTTATGCAACTGAATCTGGGAAAACTTTAGAGTACTTTTGAGAGAGTAGAAACAGGGAAAGTCAATTTCACAAGCCTAGAGAAAAGAAAACAAGGAAACCAAGGGAAACGGGAACGATCAAATGACATGAAGATTTGATACACCGAAGACTAGGCACAGTTGGATTGAAAGTGAATGTTCCTGTGTTCTAGTCGTCTCTGTTCTCATAAAAATGCTAATGTAGAATCTGAAAGATAATCCCTCTTTCAGACCTATTTTCCTGTCCAGTTTGCTGCAGGCTATTATTGGAATGGCTTATTACAAAATGAGCATAGTAGGCGATTGTTCCTTTTAAGACTGAGTACAATGCTGCTCCAAAATGGCACGTAGTACTGCAAGGGGATTGCTGGAATCATTTTTAGAGTGATTCTATTATGAATGTCTCAAGAATAAGGCAAATGTTTTTGAACTTCAATTTCCTTGCGGACAGGACCATGAGGTGTTGCAGCACCACCACGAAATAAGCTTTGATCTCTCAAGATCAAAGATTGTATTATTTTGGGCGAGTGACGGGGAAGGCGGAGGTTAACCATGCTGGTTCTAGAAACTGAAAACTGGAGGGAAATTGAGTATATACACATGGATACAATATGAAACAGCTATCCTAACCCACCAACAATTGCCAACAACCGACAAACATGACTATGCTGAATCATCACAGCTGACAGAACTGTACTTCTGTGTGTTATACTGTATTAATGCTAAAGAATGTGAAGCAATGAATGATGAATAAAGAAAAATAAAGTGACTATATGTCCGATTTTTACAATACCTCTAAATGTGTTTGTGGTCCATACATGTCCCATATTTTTCTTCTTCTCACATCAATTCCTCTACCGGGATACTGAAATATATGGATTAATATTAGTTAAAAATAAACATATTATCACATACTTATAAGCACATCTTTCATTCCAAAACTTCATACAAACCTGCCAAATCAATATACAAACTAAATACAGGTTGAACCTCCAAAATCTAGGATTCTCTGGTCCGGCAAAACCATGCATGTTGCTGAATCAGAGAGTCCCGGAGTCTGGTAGTGTGAACCCTGTCCCTGGGGTCGGGTGTGGGAGAAGCATGACTAAGCGGCTGGAGAGTTTTTTCCCCAAGGAGCCCCGGCCAGGCGAGGCAGCAGCAGAACAGGCAAGTACTGTCCTGGCAGGGATCCCTGGTCAGGCGGGGGAGAAACAGGGTCGCGAAAGCTGTGGAGTTCTGACCCCAGGGAGCCCTATCCAGGTGGAGCAGTAGAAAGACTGGTAAGCAGCAAGAGCAAGGCAGCCAGCAAGCCCCGTCCCCGGGAGCACCAGCTGGGCAGGGCAGCAGCGGGTCTGGCAAGCCTCGTCCAGGTGGAGATCCCCAGTCAGGCAGAGGAGAAGCGGGGCCACAGAGGCTGAGGAGCTCCATCCTGGGAAGCTCCAGCAGATGGGAGCCCAAGTCCAAGCCTTGAAGCCTGGAGCCTAGCGGCAGTGGGGCTGGAGCAGAGCCAACTGCAAGGAGGGGGGAGCGTCCTGGGAGACCAGTAGCAGGGGATCTCCCGTGATCTGGCAAATTCCCTCTTTTGGCATGGGTCAGGTCCCGAGGGTGCCAGACAAGGGATCTCCAACCTGTACAGCAATTACTGCATCCACACCGAGTTGCAGCCACCTCTGTGAAACACAGCTGGGATAGAAACGGAATGTCAGGACAAATCGAAAGAGCAAGGGAAATGTAGGTAGTTAGAATACAAACACCCCATTTAGAATTGAACCTGGACATGCTGGGTGACACCTCTTTGGAAAATGACCTGATTTTCGCTGAATATTAATAGTCAGAGAACTTTGGTTATCCATCTCGTCTCTGATTTACCTATTGAGCAATTCCCAAATGCCAATTGGATGGCAAAGGAACAGCTTTGTGCTATACAAAGTACTGACTTTGCCCACATTGTTTAGCATGTATCTGACAGGATCTTACCATAAAGTGCTATGGCTGCACGCTAAGCTAAGAAACAAGGAATAAATTAAGAACTTCACTTTCAGTTTAAGTCTCCTATGTTACACAAGTTGGATGAAAATAAACATTTCTATAACATTTTTAATTTTTTTTCATAAAATACCTGCAAAGTCCTATACATTTTTATAACAATTAACTTCTCTTTAAAAATGAAGAAAATGTTCTGAGATGAAACAGACACTAGAATTCACAGGATTTTGTTCTATCACATAAAACCTTTTTTTTTTTTTTTTTTAAATTGTCAGCATCAAACATTTCTGATAATCATCTTTGAGGACCCGTATTTGGTATGTTTCAAACACACCAGATACTGCTATGGTGTTTTCCACAATTATATGACCATTTATTGTGATATAGAAAAATATTTTGTAGCTCTGTGGAATGAGCTTTGGCTTCAATACAAGTTTTTATTTTTCTTTGATACAAATTACTGTAGCAAAATTAAATCCAGAGCACAGGTTCTCTGGCTCACTTCATCTTCTGACTACCATCAGCTGTTATATACTTCCTGCTGGGTAAATGGCAGGGTAACAAGGCCAACTGCCAAGAAATCAGCTTAATCACTACTGTTAAGGGATAAATCCTGCAATAAAGCAGGGCTACTTTAGTTTTCTAAGAACTAAGTTGGTGCAGAGTGCTGTCAGTCCAGAAGTGTTCTCCCTGAATCCAAAAAGGAAGTACAGGCATCCACTAAATCCGTAGGCTGTGCCATAAGATAGTCTACAATATGTTTAGTACACATTGCATTACCTGGTGTCCTTTTTTGACACAAGCAAGCAAACTTCATTTTAAAGCTCTGGCCCATTGTGGCTTTGATTATTAGTAGCTAACTTAAAATCAACAACAAGTTAAGGATCCTGAAATGATTTTGTTGTTGTTGTAATCTGTTATTTGCCCTCTTGCAATGACCTTAGAATGACTATGCTGCATAACTACATTTTGTTTCTTTTTCCTCACATTGGACTTCAGCAAGTTCATTTAATGAAGAACCACTTCTACTAACAAAAGCTTCTAATCAGTTATTTTTTTCCCCCTTCTGGTAATTAGAGATTCAAAACTTTGCTTTAGGGACATTAACTAATTGCATTCCATTGTCAGCAAGCTAGATAAAGGAAAAGAGAACCAGAATAATGAATAGCTCCACTTTTGTTTTAAAAAATTAGTATTTTTACCCCTTCGTTGCTCAGAATATGAACCAGCAGACCATTTCCACATCCTAGGTCTACAAAAGACTGTTTCTTAGTCAAGCCTTTTTCTGCTCTCTCCTCTTCCCAAAGGATCTAAGCAAAGACAAAATTAAAATGAGTTTTAATCTCTCAAAGCATTTTCTCAATTACTACCATATTTGTGGCCTATTCCTGAAACTCTTATTCACATGAGTAGAGATATAGACTACAATGGATCTTCCCCTGTGAGTAAGGGCTATTCATAGAACCATAGAAAATTAGAGTTGAAAATGACTTCAGGAGGTCATCTAGTCCAATCCCCCGGTTCGAAGCAGGACCAACCCCAACTAAATCATTCCAGCCAGGACTTTGTCAAGCCAGGACTTAAAAACCTCTAAGACTCCACCACCTCCCTAGGCAACCAATTTCAGTGCTTCTCCATCCTCCTAGTGAAATAGGTTTTTTCCCTAATATCCAATCAAGATGTCCCCCACTGCAACTTGAGAACACTGCTCCTCATTCTGTTAACTGTCACAACTAAGAACCACCTTGTTCCATCCCCTTTGAAGTCCCTCTTCAGGTAGTTGAAGGCTGCCATCAAATCCCTCCCTCCCCTTCATTCTTCTTTTCTAAATACTAAATAAGACATAACCAAGGGTATACAAGTGGGAGTGCACAATACATTTTCAAGCAAAAAGATCAAGTGACAGGTTGCATAAGCTAATAATAAAAGTTAAGGCTCATGTGCACAGATGGAAAAGAATAGTTGTAGTGATATTAGCCTGGGACTCAGGAAATCTTGGTTTAATGCCCTGCTTTGCCACTGACCTCCTGTGTGATCTTAGACCAGTCGCTTATTTTCTTAGTGCCTCAGTTCCCTCTATGTAAAATGGGGATAACAGTACTTGTCTACCTCACTGAGCTTGTGTGAGCATAAATACATTAAAGAGTATGAGGTGCTGAGATACTACGGTAAGGAGCCCAAGCAAATACTTCAGACAGAAATAACACAGTCATGAGAATATACAACAGGCGATAAGAAATCTTGGTTTGTGCTACATAAATCAACATCATCTTCTAGCCCCCTAACTAGTGCATCTATCACGTTGCCTCATTTTCCCACAAGGGTATTTTGTTAGCGTGTTTCTGGCTACCCTTTGAAGCACACAAAGGGAGGTAGCTTTTCCCCTACAGACAAAGCCAATCTTAGGGGCGGGCCATGACCAAATTTCGGCCTGACCTCCCCCTCTTTTTCCTCGGCGGTTTGTTTTTTGTTTGCTTGACAAATTTTTGTTTGTTTGTTTGTTTTTAAACCATTTGGCTCAGGGCCACCAATTGGTTAGGACCGGCCCTGCCTTCAGATTTCTAAGATGCTACCTTTCCTGGGTATGGAGATCAAGGTACAGGCAGGCAAAATAATCTAGCCACATCAGAGAGCAGTTCATTTTGCAGTACATGTGGTTGAATCCAATGATTCCCAGATGGTGCCTTCCCCCCTGGGCCATGCTACTTTCGATGAAGCATTGTCCTAATAGGAGAATTCTATGCTTCTTAGAAGCTGTGTAACTAAGGAGAGTTCCTGCCATGAGACGCTTCCAAGCCCTACAGTAATTGAGTGAACTCCTTCAGAGCTTAGAAGAGAAAATGAAAACCCTCTTCTCTTCTAAGGCCAGGTCTACACTAAAAAGGGAATGTCGAATCAAGAGAGGTGTAACTCCAGCTACGTTAATTATGTAGCTGGAGCTGACGTACCTTGTTTCGAGTTTCCCCACTGTCCCCACAGCAGGAGGCCGACAGGAGAAAAAACAGATCAGGAGAATGAAGCAAGTGGTGAAGGAGAACAACAAGGTCATGTAGCAAAGACAGTTATATGGAAGCACATAAGAACAAGGGCACCCTGAGAGAGAGAGAAAGATCACAATCCTGCAAAGCACCTACAAAGTTTTGAGCATCCTCCATATTCACATCTAAGCCAACAGAAGCTGAGAGCACTCAACACCACTCAGGATCATGCCTCAAGGAACCATCAACATGAGATGTGTGAGCTTACATAGGAGCTGAGTGGTTAAAGCAGGAAAGGAGCAATATTAATGTTTTACAGATGGTCACACAAAGAATCAATGGCAGAGCTGGAAACTACAATCCTAGATGCTGGATGCCAGGATGTGTAGGAACGGTGTCCCAAGCCTCTGTTTGTCAGAGGCTGGAAATGGATGACAGGAAAGGGATCACTTGATGATTACCTGTTCTGTTAAATCCCTCTGTGGCACCTGGCATTGACCACTGCCAGAAGACTGGTTACTGGGCTAGATGGACGCTTGGTTTGACCCAGTTTGGCCGTTCTTATGCATGTATGCGCTGGCTTTTGTGCATCTGCATGGGATGCCACTTTCTAGTCCATGGACAACAAAATGCAACCTACTACCAGTGACAGCTAAGGTATAACCTCTTAGCTCAAGTGGAAAAGGTACGTGTTGACCGACTCAGAGAATCCCGATTCTAGTCCCAGTTGCGTAGACAATTCATCTGATAATTGTTTGTTGCCTGCAGGACAAGAAATTATTATAGGCTCCTATTCTATGACTAACTACCAGATAGACAAGGCCTACAAAAGGCTAGGATGATCAAAACTCTGGAGGTCAATCTTCCAGGATGATCAATACTCTGGAGGTCAATCTTCCAGGATTCAATTTATTTGGTCTGATAAGGATCCACTAAATCAAATGCTGAGGGTGCCCCCATTAACTCCGGTACTCCTCAGCATTGCGAGGAGTAAGGGAAGTCAATGGGAAGGTTTCTCCAATAGACCGTGTGCAGTAGGACTGCCCCAGAAATTCAGAATAAGGTACGTTGACACCAGTTAAGCAATTCTCCAGCTAGCTGGAGTTGTGTATCTTAAGTCGAATTTCTGGCATAGCGTAGACCTGGTTTTAATCAGATATCACAAAAGGCACAATCAATCAGATGAGTGGGATTATTTTTGCTTAGAAGAAAACAAAAATATCAGGATCCCTTTGAACATATAATTGATGCATGCGCTTTTGATTGTTGCTAATTTGTTAGTTTCATGGACAATCACTTCATTCCCTCCCACAAGTTATGATTTTAATGCAATTCCATCAAAATACCAGCTTGTGTTTACATTTTTAACTTTGCAGGTCATGATATTAAGCATGTTGACACTGCAGCACAGTTCCTGTGAACAGGTAACTGGATCTCATGCACATGGGAGGGACTGGATCTGTGTATCAATCCATTTTACAATGTATACCAACCCAATGTGATCCCAGCACAAAAGGAAGTCTTACAGGTTTCCCTTCAGTTTGCCAGGTAGTGCACGGGATCTTACTTAGAAAGCACCTTTCATTGGATGATCTCAGAGCAATTAATTTATAAACCTAAATGACATATTTGTTTAATGCCTTCAGGATGAATATTTTCAAAGGCAATGAGCAGTCCTGGGGCACCTTAGAGACTAACAAATATTATATATATGTGTGGCATGAGCTTTCATTGGGCAAAACCCACTCCCTAAGATGAACTGGAGTGGGAAAAAATGGTGACCCAGAATTTATAATAAAAAAAAGAAGGGACAGAGAGGGAGAAAAAAAGTACTTGTCAATTATAGTATTGGTGCTAATGAGACTGAGAAGGCTGGAAGTATCCCATACTTAGCTTTTGATATAAATGAGGGGTTAAATGTATGGAAGGTTGGTTTTAGAATGGGACATCCAGTTAATGTCTTTGTTCAAGCCCACACAAATAGCATCAAATCTGCATATGAAGTTCAATTCCATACACTTTGTCTGTAATTGGCTTGTGAAATTCCTTTGTAGAAGAATAGCTACTGTTAAATCCATGATTGAGTGCCCAGGCAGGTTAAAATGATCCCCTACAGGTTTGTGTGTGTTAGGTACCATGTATGATATTTGACTTGCATCCATTTATCCTTTGTCATACTCTCCAGTTTGGCTAATATACATGGCAAGGGGGCATTTGCTGGCACTTGATGGCATATCTCTCATTAATGTCACTCACCAGCAGATAAGTAGCAATAGCAACATCTTCATATACAAATTTTTCGGGATCCGTTACTTCAGGCCACACCTTCAGATACAGAGGTAAAATTACCAATTGCTTTGTCATTATAAATCACATCTCTTTAAAGAACATGCTCAACTAGATTTGCTTTGACACTCATCCTATCTTTAACCTGCCACTGAACATTATGGAATTCAAACATTACAATTAATTAAAAAAAAAAATCTTACCCCATGATAAGGGAACTGAATGTCTGCGTACATTTTTATGAGTTTCACAATAAACTAACTGGGTTTATGAACCCTAGAAAAAAGAACATCTGCATTATTTAGTCAAGTTAAGTTTCTGGGATTAGTTAATCATGTGAAATAAAGTCCTCCACCTGTTCTCTAATTCATCACATGTGCACAGATTTACTTACAAGGTAATCAGGAAAATTCACATCCATTGGCACAGTTATGCCTATCATTGCTTACGCTAGTTATTCCAAAATAATGCTGCTGTGTTGACATACCCCAAAGGAGAACTACTTGAGAAGCCAGAAGTGAGGTGAATGGCAGCCCTACTGTACCTGTATTCTGATTGCTAGTGTTGCAGAACAAAAAAAGGGAAGAGAAAGGCTCTAGAACTAAAGGATTTGGGCTAGAACAAAACATATCCTTCAAGGGAATGAGATGAGAAATGTAATACTAGAGCTCTCTTCCTGTGCACAAATGCCATAAGAGGCTCCCTGTGATCTAAAGGTCCCTATCACAGATCTATTTCAGAGCTGTCTGACAGGGCAGTGTCCTTCAAGTCCTTGCTAATTTTCAGCACACTGACTTCAAGGGAACTTGAGTGATGAACTGCTGGTCTAAGATACTGAGATGTCACTGTGTACCACCAAGTCTTTTTGACACCCTTCCTAGCCCTCAAGTGGGTTGGCTGAAGTCTGCGACTCCCCTGGAAGGAGCATGAAGTGGGCAACTACATATGTATTATCGCACCTTCAACAGCCATAGGCGGAGACAGAAAGGAACGACTTGTTAAAATGCCTCCCCCAGACTGAAGAGACAGTTGGAATGGTTTCCCTGGCTCTGAAGAAATTTACCATCACAATAGATAAAGGATCACTGGAGTTCAAAAAATAATGTTTCAACCTCAAATGTTTGGCAAGCACACACTCCCACATATGTGAATGCACACAGGCTTTATCATAGCCCAGGGTGGACAATTTTAGGGAACTTGATGGTAAAACATTGACAGCAGAGGCCTAAAGCAAGCCACTGAGGTGTCCAAGTAGAGCCTAAGTCCCATTTTCCCAAGTCACTTAAGAACCAGCCTGTCTGAGGTATTCAGGCACCTAAGGCAGCAATGACTTTCGGTGAGATTTCGGTACCTAATTGCATAAGTCACTTTTGGAAAACTGGATGGTCAGATGCTTTTGGGAATGTTATTGGAAGCACATCAAGGCTCTGTAACTCAGATGCTGTTTTGCTTATTTTCGCCTGCTTACGAATTACAAGTGCAGAGTTCACTCTGATTCATAACCACCATCAATGCTACAACACTGAACTCTCATCATGTACCCAGGAATCTTTAAAGTCAAGAAAAAATATTTTAGTTAATTTCAAATAGATTTCTCTTCTTTTAACTAAGACCACTGGGTGCAGAAAAGACGATGAGAGAATGTGACCTTGGCTTTTATTACCACTCTTACCTTTACCATCTCTTTGTATTTTTCTTTTAATTCTTGATAAACCTTGCTGTATTTAGCCACAGAAATGAGTGACAGAGTACTTTTAAACTCGCTCTGCTTTTTTTCTGTGGACCATTTAGCCAGTTTAGACAATAGTTCATTTCCAAGCCATGTTGTTTTGGGGTATACAATTCCATCTGCAACCCAGTTTTCTGGAGATGAAGTTAACATAGATATAGACCTTTAAAATATAAGAAGTGTGAGTAAATATAGTGTATACCAATGATTAAACTGAAGGTTAGTTCAAGAGAAAACCACAGCAGAAGCCACTTTCAACACAAGCTTTGTCAGATTTATCTTTTGCATGCATCACAGAACAGGATTTTCAAAAGCACTCAGCACTGGCCTAATTGCTCTCATTGTAATTAGTGGCTCTCACTGACTTTACCTGGAATGAAACAGCTCAATGCTGAGTGCTTTGGAAAATCCTACTCTGAAGAGTAGGGGATAAAAGAATGAACATACCAGGAAGGATCAGAAGAATTAAAATGTATAGCTTGGCTATCTGGAGACTACGATGCTAATCCTGCAAACACTTAAGTGCATACATAACCTTGTTCACTTCAGTTGCCTCATTGGCTTCAACAGGACTATTCATGAACATTATGTTATGTAACTGTCTGCTGGGTTGGAGCCTCTGCAGGACACGTGATGACATTATCCAAGTCTTTGAAAGGTATAAAGATCCAAGAGGAAAATGAGACATTAAGGGCAGTTCAAGAAACAGCTAGGCAATATATGCAAACAGAAGACAGATGGAGTTGAAGAGAAAACATCTGAGCAATGAATGCTGTCAGGCAGCAGAAGTGTCTCCCAGGAGAGGTGGTGGAATTACTATTGTTTAAGGCATTTAAAGCTAAACCAAACATTATACATGAGTACACTGTATTTAAAACTGCAGCCCTGGCTGAGGGGTAAACTAGGAACTTGACACTGTGGCTCAGTTCTCTGGCCCTGATCCAACAAGGCATTTAAATACATGCTTAACTTTCAGTATGTAGGTAGTCAATGGGACTACTCACATTCTTAAAAGGCTATGTCTAGACTACAAAAGTCGGAAAAAGATACGGTTTGCAACTGGCATATCTTTTTCTGCTTTTCTACGTTGCCAAATTTTGGAAAAATCTGCTCTTTCAAGCCATCCCTTCTTCCTCGGAAAACAAGGTTTATAGGGATGGTGATAGAACATGTCCGCTTTTCCGATTTTTTTCCCCCCCGGAAAAGCAGACACGTTCCTTGGTATTCTGGAAAAGGACTACAGTCTAGATGTAGCCAAAGTTAAACATATGTTTAGGTGTTTTGTGGAATCAGGATTAGAATGTTCAGCGGGACTCTGTTATCGATCTGGCATTCCTAGGTCTAATTTTGTTGATTTTAGCATACTGTGTCTCAAGTAGGAGAAATCTTTGATTTTGATCCTGAAATTGCAAAGACACAAGCGCTTAATTCTACTATGAATAGACTATAAACATTTTTTAATGAAGTTGGATGGTATAATTCATAATCCTCTCCATGCAAAACTGGAACTGGCTTAGTTGTACAGATACCGATATCAAGAAACATTTAATATCTAGTTATTTCCACTTTAGTACTATCATCTAGCAATTATAAAAAAAGAAGGTAGAACTGATGAGCAAGATGAGATTGTGATCCACAGTATGGTTCATTCAATAAGAATCTGAGGGGTTGATCCTTCCCACCATTAAGGTCAATGTGAAAATTCCATTGCCTTCAAAGGAGCAGGATCAAGCCTTAACTAAGAAGAATGAACTCAATTCAGGTCTCTGAGAACAGGGACATAATTTTAGATGAAGTGAATGGATTCAGGGGTTTACATGCAGCCATGGGATAATTACAGTTTAAATAAGGGACAGGGGACTCTTATCACATGAATCAGGCCCTATCTAATGCAAATCAAACCACCCAGACACGTTATAAAGAAGGATAGTTTGATCTTAGACCAGTGCAGTCCCCTTTCTCTCCCCAGTACTCACCATTCATCTCCTTTAATGTGTGTAAGTCGAATTTGATAAATGTTGCACTTCTTAACCTGATATTTTCCTTCATCATTCTCCTCCAATGGTAGAAAGGTCACAGTTCCATTAAAGGTATCTGAAAAGATTTGTAAACTGTGGAATGTTACTGGCTCAGACTACTATGTTGTTTAGACACATGGGTAATTCTAAACCACGAAAAATAAGAAGCTAATACAGTAAACTTCCGATAATCCGGCACCTATAGGACCCAGGGGGTGCCGGATTATCAGATATGCCGGACTATCGGAAGGGGGGGCTATGAGGGGTCTGGGGTGGAGTGGGAGGGGATGCACCCCTCGGCGCTGCAAGACCAACCTGGCAGCACCCCAGCTGCTCTGCCCCAGGCATCCCCAAGTCAGCCGCTGCTGAAACTGACCAGCGGCTGACTCGGGGAAGCCGGGGGCAGAGCAGCTCCAATTGTCTGGCTGCCCAGAGCACTTCCAGGTTCCAGATGGTGCCGGACCATCAGGATCCGGACCACTGGATGCCGGACCACTGGATGCCGGGCCACTGGAGTTTTACTGTATTTTTCTGCTTATACCACAGCACAACTTAGTGAAGCAATTTAGATGGAGAAAATGGAAGCTAATGCTCAGGAAAGGTATACTATAAGAAACAGCTGTGCCATTTAAATCTGTTGATTTTTATACAGTTTGTGTACTGTCCCTGAGCCTAAAGAGACTTACATATGTGCTTAACTCTAACACCTTGTCTATACCACCGTGGGCCATCAACCTAAGTTATGCAACTTCAGCCACTTAAATAACATAGCTGAAGTCGACATACTTAGGGTGCTTACCACAGTATCTTCACAGTGATAACTCAAGAACTGATGCGCTCCCGTCAACTCTGCCCACTCTTCTCATTTTGGCTGAGTACCAGAGTCAAGGGGAGTGCACTCGGCAGTTGATTTATTGTGTCTATACTAGATGCGATACATTGACCCCTCCCCCGTATGGATCAATTGCTGCCTTCGATCCAGCAAGTAGTGAGGATATGCCATAAAACATATTAGTTGACTTCCTAGGGACTATATGGTATGATAAATGTGTGGCTAGATATCTATTACTGAAAGTCATTTGACATTATAACATTGCTACTAACTGTGCCTTTAAAAATGGAAACCTGCAAAATAAATTCAAAATTAATGGATTTACTAAACAAGGACCACAGATATTGCTAGACGAGAGAGCCCGGCAAGCGAGGTTCAGGAGTTTAGTTGTGGGTGGGGAGCACAACTGGGGCTCTCTGGTCTGGCAAACTCCATTGCAGTTCCAAGAGTGCCAGACCAGGAAATCCCACCTCAAACTTGCTGTTTGTTTTTCTGTAATCATTAAATGTAAAAGCCAGCTATTCCCATCTGCCCCTCAAATACTGTCTAGAACATCAGTTATACATTTCAGGTACAAGAGCCTTCTATGGTGTTTGGTTAGTTAGAATTTCCTCTGACGCACAAAAGATAACTTCATTCTGACAAAGTGCAGTATAATGGGCTGCAATATTCTGCATCTGTAGCAACCATGATTCCTTCTTTGTGTTTAACTGCAAGCAATGATCTTTGGGATTCTTTGCAAGATAGCATAACCACATAGCTCACAAACTGTAATTTTTGTGGAGGAGGGCGGACAATACTCTTGCTCACTATTTTTTCTTGTTAGTGCAAAGATGGGAAGATGTCAAATAACTGGGCAGTTGACTAGTCTTGTTAACATATGCTGTGTAAAGCTGGCTTTTATTAACTTCTCTTTTTTGTAGCCAAATGGTACATCCTAGTGTTCTTAAACCTCACTCCTTATACTTAAAACAACCTCCTCTGACTACAAGCAGAAAGAACCCAAATAATCAATTCTGGATGAATTTGGAGAAAGCAAGTTCCTTAGTGTCTTTTTCTAAATCAAAAGGAAACTGGTCCAATGACATTGTTAATCTTCAAAAGATGCCAGTGGATGGAGCTGTGCTGACTTGTACCAGCTAACAACCAGTCCCTGAAATGCCTGCTCCATCTAGCTATCATGTCTCGCTTTCTAACATGAATCACATGCATATCTTCCACATAACTTAAAATGGTATTTCATTTAAACTACCTATCAAGGAAAAACAAAGAGGACAGCAAACCATAAACAGCATATCAACTAGTCCTCACATGCTACTGATTTTACCTCCCAAATTTTCAATACAGCCATGTGGCCTCCTATAAAATAACCTTGAATTGCTTAATATGTTCCATATGTTAGTGTTATACAAGAATTATCACTACTGTTATTGATCTACATTCACATTATTAATTTATAATGGTAATCCCAGTATCCTGAAGCAAATATTTTGCTCTCAAATTTCTCCCTCACCCTTCAGATAACAGCAATACCAAATAAGTCAATGTCTGTTTGTTCTTTTTGTTTTGTTTTTATCAAAATATGCATTCTAACACAACAAAATAATCACAAGGCATCAAATAGGCAGTCAGGGCCTATGCTTACATTCCTTAGGCAGCCAAAATTCCCACTGATTCAACAGCAGTTCTGAGTGAGCAAGGAATGGAGGGTCAGAGAAAAGGTGGACTTCAGGTTGCACCTCTGAAAACCGACACTCTCTGGTATGGACCATGAGTGCTCCTGGACCAGAAAGCCCTGTAGCCTAAAGGCAGGAGGGCCAGCAGCCCAGCTAGGGCCGGGGACAGTGGGACTACAGAGCTCCAGCAGCCTGAGGCAGCACAGAGCCAGCAGCTGTACAAGCCACGGCAGCACGGGGTCCGGGGCTGGAAAAGCCTGGTCATCTGTGGCAGTGCAGAGAATGCCTACAGCCAGTGGCAGTGCAGAGTCAGGAGCTGGAGAAGCCTGACTGCCGTGGCAGCACAGGACTGGGCTGGGGAAATCTGGCAGCATGCGGCAGTGCAGGCCAGGGCTGGAGAACCCCAGCCGCCAAAGGCAGCCTGGGGCAGATGGCAGCAAAGCGTGGGAGAGGAGGCCAGAGGCTGGGAGCCAGCTGGTTCAGGGCCAGTGGCAGGGGTCATTCAGGACTGGTCAGATCCCAACCCTGCCTGACCAGAGAGGTCCAGCCTGTAGATAGCACTGCATTTCTACAGAGCACCGTGTGGATTTAGCATGACCTTGATTAACTTAATCTATCTTTATCTAGTCCCTTGTCTGATATAATAAGCACGTTCTAACCTGAATATTCCAATTTTTCATTTTTATTTATTTTTACTAGAACATGTCTACCAAGCTATTCTGTATCAGCAGGATTTCCCGGGGGAAGCTTTAAAACAACTAGACACAGGGATGATGACTAGCAACAACATGAAGATGGATTTTTCTTTCCATCTTCAAAAAATTATTCAGAAGTACAATGCATACTGTAAATAGGTTTTTAAAAAGTTCTGAGAAAGCATCACAAGCCTTTTAAGTGTTTCAAGACAGCTGTCAATGTTGGTGCCTTAGATTTTTTTTACTCACTTTTGTACTTAGACTTCTTTCCAAGGACCAGTATTAGAATTCAGTCCATACCCCACCTATTTTTTCAATGGGATTTCACATAGGTGTAAAGATCCACTCTGGCAGGCCATGAAGTAAGATTGTGCAGAGAATACATTATTGTACATGTCTGTTCAAGAAATCTTAAAATTTCATGAAAGATAGGATTGCTAATTCTGATTGGACATATTTCTGGAGGTTTCATCACATGATACAATTTTTACTTAAAGATCAATCTGTAATTCTAGGGACTCCTGGGTAATCCTGAAGGGTTGGCAACCCTAAATGCCAGGATTATTAAGCAACACTGATTATTAAGCAAAGAAGAGGCAGGAAGATCCAAGCTGCTTTGAAAATCTTACAAGCTACACTGAGTTCTACAGCTGCTGCTCAATGTCCTTTTTAGTTCTGTACTTTCAAAGGCTATAGTCAAACTTTGTAAAATTACAATTACACCTACGCTACCAGCTGTGTTTTTGTTTGGCCTACTTCTGCTAGCATTTGAATGTTGCATCATACATCTATTTCCTTCTTCAAACAGAGAAGCATTATTTTAGTATCCTCCTTGTTCATAAAAATGGAATAGACAGGCTAAACTTAGCAACACTATGAAGCATGAGGCTGTGAAGAAATCTAGAAGCTGGAATTTTCTCAGTGCTTCACTTTGGGCAATAATAGGTTTTCCAAAATTAGAAAAGCAGCTGAAAAAATATGATATTTTAAAAAGTGGATTCTAGTTTGGGGCTATCAATGTCTTTTCAAAGACCACTTGGATCCAGTATCATGGTAATAGACATCCCACACTGAAAAAGAAATGTTTACAGTAGAATTTTAAAAATCTGTTGACTTTCCCTGTGAATCAGGTGGCTGTCTCGGTTTTGAAAATACATAATGCTTTACTGACTTCTGTAGGTTGAAGGGTTTATCCATATGAATCAAAGAGCATCACAGAAATTTCTAGGGTGACAATTCTTTTGCTATCATCCCCTCTTGCTATGGGTCCAGGAGACTACTTGAATTTTCAAAGCCCAGCTAGTTTCCACAATGGAAGTCTTCTTGACATAGTGTTGTCATTCAGCTCCCCCTTTTAAAGGTACCTTTTATGACTAATTCTTTTCTCCATGTAGTGGAACAACGGCGAGGCTGACTTTTGGGGAACAGAGTTCTGAGGACCACATCGAGGTAGGGAGCATCTGTCTCGGGCAACTTTTCTTTCCCAAGTTCTTTAATGAAGGCCAGCATTTCACAGCTGCCCTGAGCAACCATGCTAGCCAAGTCGCTCCAGAGAGCTTCCAGCATGGTGGAAGCCCCATCCTCAGCAGTCACTTGCCCTGCTTCCTTTCTACCTTGCCCCCAGTTCCCACCTACTCCCCTCCTCTCACCCCCATTCCCAGCGGTGCCCCTCCTCCTCTCTGCCCCCTTGTCCTTGTCCCCGTCAGCATTTCACAGCTGCCCTGAGCAACCATGCTAGCCAAGTCGCTCCAGAGAGCTTCCAGCATGGTGGAAGCCCCATCCTCAGCAGTCACTTGCCCTGCTTCCTTTCTACCTTGCCCCCAGTTCCCACCTACTCCCCTCCTCTCACCCCCATTCCCAGCGGTGCCCCTCCTCCTCTCTGCCCCCTTGTCCTTGTCCCCGTCCCCATCCCCA